TTATTTTATTTTATTTATTTTTATTTTTTATTTTTTTTAGAGACAAGGTCTTGCTTTGTCACCCAGACTAGAGTGCAGTGGCCCAATCATAGCTCACTGCAGCCTCCAACTCCTGGGCTCAAGCGATCCTCCTACCTCAGCCTGTTGAGTAGCTAGAACTATAGGCGTGCACCATCACGTCCGTCTAATTTTTTAAAAATTTTTTGTAGAGACAGGGTCTTGCTCTGTTGCCCAGGCTGGTCTCAAACTCCTGGCCTCAACTGATCCTTGCCTCGGCCTACCAAACATTGGAATTACAGACGTGAGCCACTGCCCCCAGCCTATTCAAATATTTTGCCATTTTAAAAAATTGACCTGTCTTCTAAAGGTTTCTTATTTATTCTGGATACAAGTTCTTCGATGTATGTATTGAAAATATTTTATCCCAGTCTTTGGCTTTTTTGTTTTCTTATTGGCATCTTTCAAAGAGCAAACATTTTAAATTTTGATGAAGGTCGGTTTGTCAGTTTTTCCTTGTATGTTTCATGATTTTTGTGTCCTAAGAAACCTTTACCAACTCCAAAATTGCAAATATTTTCTTGTATGTTTTCTCTTAGAGTTTGTGTAGATTAAGTTTTGCATTTAGGCTTATGATCCATTCTAGGTCAATTTTTGTATATGGAGTGAGGTAAGAGATGATGTTTATTTTTTCTACATGAATATCCGGTTGATCAAGCACCATTCACTGAAAAGACTTTCCCTGTTGAGTTGTTTTTGCACCTGTGTTCAGTCAGTTGACCACTTATATATGGGCCTTGTTCTGGACTTTGTATTCTTTTCATTGCTCTATTTGTCTTATCTTTATCTGAATACAAAACTGTCTTGATTACTGTAGTTTATAGTAAATCTCGAAGTCAGGTAGTGCTAGTTCTTGTTATTCTAACATCAATCTTTTTTTCTTTTTCTTTTTTTTTGAGATAGAGTCTCACTTTGTCACCCTGGGTAGAGTGCCGTGGTGTCAGCCTAGCTCACAGCAACCCCAAACTCCTGGGCTCAACAATTCTCCTGCCTCAGTCTCCCAAATAGTTGAGACTACAGGCACACACCACCACACCTGGCTAATTTTTTTCTCTATTTTTAGTAGAGACTGGGGCCTTGCTCTTGCTCAGGCTGGTCTTGAACTCCTGACCTCAAGCTGTCCTCCTGCCTCAGCCTTCCAGAGTGCTAGGACTACAGGCTTGAGCCTCCCGGCCCAGCCAAGTTCTTGTTATTCTAGCTCTCCAATTTCGTTCTTTTATTTCAAAGTTGTTTTGGCAATTCTAGGTCCTTTGCATGTCCATACAAATTTTAGAACCAGTCACTTTTTCCAAAATGTTTACTGGAGTTTTCCAGTAAATCACTTTTTCCAAAATGTTTACTGGAGTTTTCATTGGGATTGCTTTGAATCTGTACATCAATTTGGAGAGAATTACCATCTTAAAATAGAGGCTTCCAATCAATGGACCTGGTATTTTTCTCCATCTAGCTAAATCTTTAATTTATCCCTGCTGTGTTTTATGTTAATAGTTTTCAGCATAGAGTGCTCAGACATCTTTTGTTAGATGTAATCCTGGGTATTTTATATTTTTAGTGTTGCTGTAAATGGGATTGTTTGTGAATTTTATTTTTGAGCTATTTGCTACTAATATATAAAATGGATTTTTGTGTATTTACCCTTGTATCTTGTGATTTATTAGCTAATATATAGCTAAGTGGATTTATTAGTTCCAATAGCAGATATGTAGATTCCTTGCTTCCTACTTCAGTAGTCACCATCTGCCAATACGGGTGGTTTATTTCTTCATTTCTGATCTTTATCCCTTTTCTTTTTCTGCCTTATTGCAATGTCTAAGACATCTGGCCACAATATTGAATAAAAGTGGTGATTGCCTTGTTTACAACCTCAGGGGGAAATCTTTTACCTTTAGGTATGATCATGGTAGTGTGGTTTTTTGTAGATGAGGTACCTTTTATCATTTTGAGGTAGTTCCCTTCTATTCCTAGTTTCATTTATCATGCATGGGTATTGATGCTTTTTTTTTTTTGCACCTATTAGAACAATCATATATTGTTCTCCTTTGTTCTGTTAGTATATCACATACTTACCTGTTAATGTGGTGAATTACATTAATTTATTTTTGAATGTTAACCAACCTTGGATTCTTGGAATAAACTCTACTTGGTTATGATGCATTTTCCTTTTTATATTCGATTCTATTGCTAATATTTTGTAGTATTCTAATATTTTTATTGGATTCCATTGGTAATGCTTTGTTAAGGACTTCTATGTCTATATTCAAGAGGGATATTGGTCTGTGATTTTTCTTTCTTTCTGTTTTTGTAATATCTCTGTAAGGTTTTGGTACTAGGGCTATACTGGCCTTATAGAATGAATTGGGCCATGATCTTTCTTCCTCTTTTTTGAGAAAGTTTGATAAGATCAATTTTATTTCTTCATTGTATCTGTGATAGAATTTGCCATTAAAACCCTCTGGGTTTTCTTTTGGGAAGATTTTTGGTAATTTCAATTCCTTTACTAGAAATAGGCTATTCAGATTTTTCATTTCTTCTCGTGTCAATTTTAAGTTGCATTTTGAAGATATTTGTCCATTTCATCCAAGTTCTTGACTTTTTAGCATAATATTTTCTTATTATCTTTATACTGTCTATAGATTCTAAAGTGATAACCCCTTTTTAATTCCAGATACAGGTGATTAGTGTTATCTCTAATTTTTCATGACCAGTCTACCTGGGAAGGAGGGGTTGTCAATTTTGTTTGTTCTTTTCAAAGAACCAGATTTTGGTTTTGTTAATTTTCTTTATTGTGTATTTGTTTTCT